CCTTGTTTCGGTCACAAATATATTTTTTTGATCTTGACAATAATCACAACCCATCCCTAACCCTAGCTTTATTGTGCGCGAAACATGAGAATCTAACCATAAACTTTTTTTAATCCTTCTATCCTACCGTTACTCTAATATCTGTGACATCAGAACGACAATAGTATGGAAACTAGCACTTGTAGCCATTTTTGGAACCTTTTCACTAGACCACAATACAAATTAGGCCTATTCAATGCTTTTAAATACACAACAACGATCACTAACCATTAAAGATTACAAACATTACTTCAAACTATCTCATAACCAGAACTGTACAGTGAGTGCGGACTGTGTGGTATGTACTATTTGAAACGCGAGCATGACAAGTGTTTTATCAGATATAGAACATGCACAGCGCAGCACGGCGCAGCTCGAGTGTTTTATCTGATAATTAAAGCACGACATTTAAATGACTCAACTGCATAAAAGCCCGGTTCACATATACGCACTTACACCTGCGGTATGTCGGCGGGCTATTGAGTATATTGTCGTTATAGTAGTTCAACCAAATAATTCACAAAAGAATTGCATCAACAACTGCTCTGAAAAGGTGTGAACAACCGATAGCGCAGGCATACCGCAGGCATATGTGAACCAGGCTAAAGAAAGAGTAAAGTAAAGTGCTTAGCTGATATTTTACTTCGCTTGAGTATACTTCTTCACCAGATTGCCTTTCTTTTGATTTTACTGAAGCGAAGTCGTTAAGAACTGAATACCGAACAACATGGTCATGGAGCAAAACTTGCACCCAAGGACGTCAAATTAAAGCCATGTTACTTCGAAAACTACAGGGTGTATCAAAAACCTGCAAACACTATAATTTGCATAATTCTGCTGCTTACTAGCATTTCAATGTCGGTGCAAGGTCGGTGCTACTTATTTTGCTTCGGAGATTTGAAAATACATTCTAATTAACCCCGTTCATAAAAGTTAATATAACACAAAATTATTTGTAATGCAGAAAACTAATTATGAGTTCGACTGCGAATGGGTCAACTATTGTGTTTACGCATGCTTGGGATCAATTAGTTCTGAATCATGCAAATTCTAAAAAACATTATACAGGGTGTATAAAAAAAAAGCAACCTTGGAATTTCCCAAGAAATCGACATTGTTTTAAGGACAAAAGATTTTAGGTGCCTGGGAATTTAAAATAGCACAACTGTTGAAATTTCTGCACACGCGAGTGCATAAAGCAAAATTTATGCATTTATTTAACAGTACAACAACAATGATATGATCTATTTGCAATTCGATTTCAATTCTCAGGGGCCTAAAATCTTTTATGCTTAAGAATTGCAAAGTGGATTTCTTAGGAAATTCCGAGATTGCGTTTTTTTATACACCCTGAGTGTGTATAAAAAAAACTGAACCCTTTCAAATTCAAATTAGCTATAATTAAGGTATTGTAGTAATTTGACAGCTCTAATTGCTTTGAGTTAATGTCGGGTAAAAAAACAAGGTCTTGTACTCATGGGAAAAAACTCAAAGAAATAAAAATTAGAAAATTTAAAAGTCAATCAATCAATCAAAAACTTTATTATTGTGTCAAATAAATTCTAGTTTACAAAGAAACTAATTGGGGACACCTACCTATATTAACTACTATTAACTATATAAACAGAATAAATATATTATAACAAAGTTTTTAAGAGTTTTGTCCCATGAGTACAAGACCTTGTGTTCTTACCCAACCATTAATTCTAATAATTCAAAGCAATTAGAGCTGTCAAATTACTACAATACATTATAGCTCATTGGAATTGGAATTTGAAAGGGTTCAGTTTTTTTTATACATCCTGTACAGTATAGCAGTATGCTTTTTGGCAACCAAAGTACGTTTAATTAACCCATGAAATAGCACGCAAAGCATTGTTCTTTTAAAACGCCATGCTATAATATAAACATATTGTTGGCAGTTGCTGGACTGTCGATGCCATGTCTCCGTATCAATTACCTGATAGTCAAATCATATTCAAACAAAAGGTCTACAAACTAAACCCTGTTTAAATGATAGCGAAGTGAAACTGATGGACAACAATCGAGATGAAATTGACTCGCTTTTAATGCTTGAAATAAACGCTTTCAGACGTGCAAATACAATAAGTGATATTAAAATGAAATAAGAAAAGACAAAAGAAAATAAAGCAAAGAGCACAAACGCATAAATTCGCTTTCTAAGCGTTATAAATTGTTTGTAATAAACAAATTCAGTATATATAGTGTAAGACCAACCAGAAATCAACGGAGCATACAATGAATACAAAATACACCAAAAGAACTGCATCGTTACCGGCTTCAGTATATAAACTGACTAATGAGATTTGATGAGATCCCTCGTATTTATAGCATCATGCATGCAAAGCATTCTGGTCGGTTAACAGCAATGCATTCTGGTCGGTTAACAGCTATGCATTCTGGTCGGAGAAACGGAAGTAAAATCTTACTTTCAGAGCCCAATACGAATTAGAACTGCTGACTCGCTCGCTCGCTTCAGGCTCGCTCGCTGCGTCAGCAATAATCTAATATGTATGACAATATGCTATATAACTTTTTTTAGAGTCGATCGCGACAAAAAAATGAAGCAGTTGTGTTACAGTGATGAATTTCGTCATAACGATATGCCATTGGAACCCAAGCTTATGAAATTCTTTTATAAAGCCTACTTCCGCTACTCCCAATTACTGGCAGACAAAAAAACCTCGTTTCGGCATAAAGCGAAACCAGGTGACATCATGACAGTCAACAACCATCGAATTCTACATGGAAGATCTGAATTTAAAGATCGGAGCAATAACGTGAGGTTACTTGAGCTTGGGTATTTTGATTTGGATTGTGTTTACTCGAAAATTCAAATTCTCGCTGAGAAACAAGGAGTACCTTCGCCAATAGATTGGTTGTCATCTGACAATTTTAAACAATTTCAAAGAATGTGATACATGTATTTGGAATGATAGTCGTTATATATTATATAACGATTTTGAAATATGATACAATTATATTTCAATATGAAGTAATACCAAGGCTTGGAGTAATGCAAATAATGAATGTTTATGTGTGCAATAGTAAAAATATTTTCATGAGGGGAAAGATGGAATTTTTGATAGCAGGAGGCGACAGCCGAGTGAAATGGAAAATTCCATATTTCACCGAATACTAAACAAATACACATGTCAGTTACATGTGGATTGTTCAAAAATAATTAAAATTCAACCAAAAAGTGAAATATATGCAATAAAAATATTATACAAATACATGTATTTTTACACCCACCATTTTGCTTCGCACGAGTTATGTATTTGAATTTAATTCCATCGGTCTCAGTATGAAAATTATGGTTAATAAATGAGCTACGATCACGATACGATTTTAAATTATTGAATTTAATTAAATCCTTATTGTATGTTTTAGGACAAAACGTATAGTAGAAAATTGCACGGCTGAGCGTGCAATAGTTCGGCGTTCCGGAAAAATAGGTACGCTAAGGTACGTACATGTATCTGCTCATGGTGATTGGATTGTTGTCAAGCTAGGAGTTCAGTCAATACTCAGTAGCTTGTAAAAATATTGAGAGACTGATGCTTAAATGAATATATCCTCTAATAAACATTACAAATGTATATTGTACACAGTTGACTAGTTTAATGATCAAGGTTAGATTTATAGTATGTCAGATGAAAAAAAGGCATATATATATTCAACTTGCAGAAACTAATTCCGGCCATAACTTCACAAAGATGATATTCAGTTTTATGATGTTCTTGTTGAATCTTTAATTTCAGTTTTATGATATTCTTGTTGAAACAAGTCGGGTTCAACATCTTCTTTATAGTTCATAATAAACTTTAGCAGGCATGCGAGAACATTTTAAATGCATAGATGTTGGCACAGGTTTGAAAGCCTTTTTATACCATAATTCATATGTGATAGGGTAGATGGCGCACAAATGAACTGTTTATGCCAAGTAAATATATTATCAAATAGGTTAAATATTGAAGGTCATTCATCAGTAACAAATGATAACAAGTATGGAAATTAGAAGTATAATCGATGCATCTAGTTCTTGAATAGAATGATATAATTCAGCATACCTGATCCATGGCCGGTCATGCAATAATATTGTGTCATACAGAAAATCTAATAAACAGAATAGTGGTTTAGTTTTGTACATTATGTGCTATTAATAAGATACCATTAACATATACGGCATAAAATTGCAAGCTGGCAATGACATTCAGTTGCAGACATCGGGGTGGATGAAGAATGGAGCACCTCCTCCAGGATATGTAGTTATATACTGCAAGGCGATAATTATACCTGGTTGTGACTGTTACTACAATCTGAAACTGAACCTCTGTTTTTTATACAGCTACTACACTGCAAAAAATCGAATTCTAGTCTAGAATAATATTCTTATTTTTTAGATTATTTTTCTTATTTTAAGTAAATATTTCTTATCAAGAAATATTTCAAGAAAAAAATCTAGTTTTAAGAACAAAAATCTTAAAGTAAGAAAATATAACTAGGCAAGAATATTCGAGAGAATATTTTTCTTATTTTAAGAATAACATTTTTCCATCCTAGAATAATATTCTTATAATTAGAAAAACAATCTTGAAATGATGATATTGAATTGAATTAAACCTAGTTCTATTGTATATCTTTCAGTTTTTTTTGTCAAATTTGAAGCTGAACGGCTCTGTCCTGAATTGTCGCAGTTTCAACATGGCACTATCGTAATGAATTTGCCGGTATATGGCCAATGAATTGTTATTGAAAAATAACAATTATACATGAATTCAAATCATTTGCAACAATCGTCTATCTACACTTTAATGAAGATGGTATGATCCACCGCAAAAAATGATGTGTAAATTTACCCAAGATTTTGCGTATAAATATCACCACATGTTATGACATCACGATTAATGCTGTCACATGTTACTGAGACATGCGATACGTTAATACTGTAATAAACCATAAAAATTTTATATTTAAATTGCAATTGGCATATAACTTTTTTAGAAAATCTATCTCATTATTCGCTCACAAGAATTTTCATCATTTTTATAATCATTTTTTGGCCAGAGACCGCCAGATTAATGCTTCCTACAATTTCAAGCTAGCGCTACGATAGATTCGGAGCGCTTTTTGATGTATCTATTTTAGAAGACAAGGGTCACGCGCGCAATGAGTTGTGGGATATCGTGTATCAAATTTCAAGTGTGATTTGCAAATTTTCGACTTTTTCGTTTGAGTATATTTTGCCCAAGAAGAGTCCATGGAATTTATCTTATTTTGTACTGGATAAGTGACTCCGAATCCTGCCGAAGGCTTATTGATCTCAGGTATGAAATATTATTGTTTATATCATATAATTATAACGTACATCGACCGTATTTACCCATTTTATCTTGTGGCTGTTGGCCTGTTGTAGTGTTGTGGCTGCTAAAATTTGAATTTGCGCGCGAGGTTTTATATATTGAATTGTTTCATTTCAATGCCGTCAAATGTTATAAGTTAAAATCAACAATTCAAATTTTGAATAAACACATAGTAAATACTGGGTTTCACTTGTTTGACAAAACTCGAGAAAGCATGTTTGAATCCACATAGTATATAAAACAAATTTAAACAATATGTTAATATGAATATAAATATGGCTACATTGGTGATTGCTACAAGCCCAGTATTAAAGCCAAAACATGAACATTATTTGAGAGTATTAAACTTGAGTAAATCGCAATCTTATCTATCTGAATCATAAAATTGTTAACCCAATATATAGAATTGATTATTAAGATTATCAATTCAGTGCATATTTCTTGGTTTTAGCATGTAAATGAATTGACTTTAAATTAAGCATTTAACCCATTCAGCCAGAATGTGCCCCTACTTTTTTTCACTTGTCTAACGCCGGGTTTTTATGTGCCTGTTTATGTGATAATGGCATGGCTGGACAGGAGGTTTTAATCCAGGGGCCGGTTGTTCAAAGGTGGGTTAATGCTAACCCTAGGTTAAAATTTAACCTGCTGTTTTAGTTCGTGTATTTCTGCACATCTGTTTATTTCAAAACTTCAGAGAAGAAAACTCCTATCAATCCAGACAAGATCTCTGAAGAAATATTTCCAAATTTATAGACAAGCTGTCAGGAAGTTTGCTTTGAATTTTAGCTTAACCTACGGTTAAGCTAACCCAGCTTTGAACAACTGGCCCCAGGATGGTGTGTTTATATAGACGGAATACACCCCGCCTGGCAGGGATGATTGAGTGCTTGTATGAGAATTTCTTGTGCTGGCAAGTGTGATCCCGGCTAGGGTTGGGCGATATTAAAAAAATCATCTCACGATTATTGCCAAGGAAATCATCACGATATTCGATAATATCGCGATAAATGCAATAAAAGCAATGACCACATTTTTTCAATTTTAATTAATATCATTACATAGCAAGCTTATATATATATTAATCTTATTAACAACAAGTAAAACAACAAATTAAAGTACTACGAATGCTTTTTCTAGTCTAATATTTACTGTTCATAAACTGGAACTGTCTATGCAGTGTCTACTGTGTCTCCGCTGGCACAAATGCCGTGGGCACACAGCGCAAGCAAAGCCTGCAATTCCATTGTTCAGCAGATTAATACATAAATATTAGCTTTTGTATCGTATTAAATTCGTATTTAATTCAGGAAATAGTTTTAATTCTTTTAAAAACTATATTTTCTAGGGAATTGAAAGAATTGTTTAGGATTTTATAACAGCTATATACACATGCAAAGCAATATCACGATAGTCATCGAGCATGACGATAATTTCGATATATCGTCGCTCAAGTTTCTACCTTCGATACGATAATTGTGATCGAAAATATCGCGATAAATCAAAATATCGAAATAACCGCCCAACCCTAATCCCGGCAAAACATAATGAGATCCTGTCTAGACCAGAAAGAAGTAGAATAATTCACTTTACTGTAAACAGTCGATATAGTTCATATTGTAAGCTGGATCA